ACTGTGGAACCTAAGGGGTTAATCCTCTGCATTGTGTAAAAAGGCTGTTTTATCCTGTCTTCTCTGATCCTCCCCTTCTTCCAGTGTCCCTCTCTTATCTCCTGATAAGACATATCGTGTGGAGACATTCTGTATACTCATGTATGTGATCTGGCTCTTCTGGGTAGGGGATGTGCCCTGGCTGTGCTGCCATTCGCTCCAGCACATGCCGATCAACAGGTCCCAGTTTAGGGCTGGGACCTGCTGATCGACTAAGCGAATGATACAAGAGAACCCTGTGTTGCTAAACAACACAGAGCTCTTTACAGACAGCGGCGATGTGCTGTTTTTTTTTCTCCCTGAAAAGCAGGGAGTAAAAACTGGCAGATTGCTTAGTGAAAACACCACACAGTAAACATTGTTAGGGACAAAGTTAACCCTTTGATTGCCCCTAAATGTTAACCCCTTCCCAAACGTATGTGGCCCTTTGCTTGCTTTTGTGCTGTCCTTGGGGTAGTTTTCCTTCCACTGATACAAATCACTATTCCTTCCATTGACATCAATGACGGGGGCGCTATTCTTCCCACTGACACCAACGATGGTATGCTATTCCTCCCACTGACACCAATGCTTGGACACTATTCCTCTCACTGACATGAACATTGGAGCACTGTTCCTCCCATTGATCCCAACAACGGGGCACTGTTCCTCCCACTGACACCGATGATGGGGCACTGTTCCTTCCACTAACACCAGTGACAGGGCACTGTTCTTCCCACTGATACCAGAAATGGGGTACTAATTATTCCACTGACACCAATGATGGGGCACTGTTCTTTCCACTGATACCAATAATGGGGCACTATTCCTCCCCACTGACACCAATGATGGGGCACTGTTTCCTCCCACTGATACCAATGATGGGGCACTATTCCTCCCACTGATACCAATGACGGGGCACTATTCCTCTCACTGATACCAATGACGGGGCACTATTCCTCCTACTGATGCCAATGATGGGGCAGTATTCCTCCCACTGACACCAATGATGGGGCACTATTCCTCCCACTGATACCAATAATGGGGCACTATTCCTCCCACTGACCACCAATGACGGGGCACTATTCCTCCCACTGATACCAATGACAGGGCACTATTCCTCCCACTGATATCAATGACGGGGCACTATTCCTCCCACTGATACCAATGACGGGGCACTATTCCTCCCACTGATATCAATGACGGGGGGCACTATTCCTCCCACTGATACCAATGATGGGGCACTGTTCCTTCCACTGATACCAATGATGGGGCACTATTCCTCCCACTGACCACCAATGATGGGGCACTATTCCTCCCACTGATACCAATGATGGGGCACTATTCCTTCCGCTGACACCAATGATGGGGCACTATTCCTCCCACTGATACCAATGACGGGGCACTATTCCTCCCACTGACCACCAAGCCTAGGGTATTGTTTACTCACTGATCCCAGGGCATTTTCTACTCCCATTGGCCACAATCCAGCCTCATAAGGTTTGAAGGGCAGTAAAATGGCCCTTTGTTTCAAAAGTGTGGAGACCCCTGATATATACCATCATTTGTAGACATAACTTTCATTCAAACCAAATATTATACACACTTATTGCGATTTTTTTTTTATCAAAGCCATGTCGCAGAATAACATTATGCCTAAAGTTTGGAGGATGTTTTATAGCAAAAGGTATTTTCCAATATATTTGGTCTTTTGTCGTTTATTTAAAAAAAAAAACAGCCTTGATCAAATACCACAAAAAGAAAGCTATATCTGTGTGTAGGAAATTTCATAAATTTCATTTCGGTACAGTGTTGCATGACCGCACAGTTTCCAATTTAAGTAGTAGCGCAGTGCTGAATAGCAAAAAAAAAAAAATTGGCCTGGTCGTGAAGGAAGAACATTTTTCGGAGCTGAAGTGGTTACAAATGGCTGCCTCAAGTGGTTACAAGTTATGACCCTGTCTTTTCTTTCGGTAAGTTCTAACATTTTACAGTATATAGAGGTAAAGCGAGCAGTTTTTATATAGAAATGTACGTAGCATTGTGTTATCTATTATTTCTATTGTTATGTCACAATGGTAATGGAATGTTAATGTTACGGTATTGTGCAGAGGGAGCGATTGGAGCACAATATTACACAGGGTCATACACCGGATATTGAGCGCCCTCAGAGAGAAGGATGCAGTGCAATTTCTGATGGCTGCACATTAGTGAAGACTCATTAGATGTCACGGGCAGTTGCTGCCCACGAGGGTTGTAATGGCATGTGAGGATCTCACAGACAATCCGGTTGCCTTGTTTTTCAGGACACGACGGAATTGTAACTCTGCTGAAACATTATAAGCCGCGGCCTCAGGATGAATCTCCATGTAATGAATACTCTCAGCCCGGTGGAGGTATTTAATATCCATATGTTCTGTTATAATTCTGAACATCGGGCAAGGACAACCCATTGCCCTCCAGCTGGCCTAGCCTTGACGGGTGTTATCTGATTCACTCGGTAGCCATTTTGCAGGATGATCCGATTTTCTGGCCTAAAGTGTTACTAAAGCCACAACGGTACAATCAGTCTGTAGATGCAGTAAAGCATGCTTGTTATACTCACTGTGGAACCTAAGGGGTTAATCATCTGCATTGTATAAAAAGGATGTTTGATCCTGACTTTTCTGATCCACCCCTTCTTTCAGTGCCCCCCTCTTATCTCCAAATAAGACATATCGTGTGGAGACACTCTGCACATGCTCAGTTTGGTATGTATTGCTGGAGAGGTTTTTTTTTTTTCTCTCTTGTTCCTTGGGAGAGTGCATGTGATCAGCACAGGGCCAATCAGCGCTGTCCAGACCAACCTTTCTCAACCTTTTCTGGTACAATAATTTTTATTAGTTTTTCCTTTTTTCTTGTTTGAAAAAATAACAAGGTACAAACATGTAGAAAATAAGGTCCCTCACAGGGGACCAATTGGCAGACATACAATACAATCAGCGACACATAAATAGATTAGCCTTCAACAAAAGAGTGTCCCAGAGACACTCTATATCTGGTCTCCCCGGACCCTGCACTCACTATATCTGGTCTCCCCGGACCCTGTATTCACTATATCTGGTCTCCCCGGACCCTGCATTCACTATATCTGGTCTCCACGGACCCTGCATTCACTATATCTGGTCTCCCCGGATCCTGCACTCACTATATCTGGTCTCCCCGGACCCTGCATTCACTATATCTGGTCTCCCGGATCCTGCACTCACTATATCTGGTCTCCCCGGACCCTGCATTCACTATATCTGGTCTGGCCTGGACCCTGCATTCACTATATCTGGTCTCCCAGGACCCTGCATTCACTATATCGGTCTCCCCGGACCCTGCATTCACTATATCTGGTCTCCCCGGACCCTGCATTCACTATATCTGGTCTCCCCGGACCCTGCATTCACTATATCTGGTCTCCCCAGACCCTGCATTCACTATATCTGGTCTCCCAGGACCCTGCATTCACTATATCTGGTCTCCCCAGACCCTGCAATCACTATATCTGGTCTTCCCGGACCCTGCATTCACTATATCTGGTCTCCCCGGACCCTGCATTCACTATATCCGCTCTCCCCGGACCTTGCACTCACTATATCTGGTCTACCCGGACCCTACACTCACTATAGAGCAAAATGAAGCTGAATAAAATACCCAGCAGAGGGAAATCGTGCCAGAGGGCCTTTCTCACCCTTTTCAACACAGAGGAACCCTTGAAATAACTTTCCAGTCTCAGGGAACCCTGCTAATAATGACTATATCTACAACTCATGATACATTACTGTGATGGTCAGTGGGAAGAATGCTCCATACACTTGTAGTCATAGGGAAGAATTACCCCCTTATAGAAAGCTAAAAAGATCATTGGTGTCAGTGGAAACTTATCTGAGAGGTAGAAAATGCTCATTGCTCAAGGAACCTCTAGCAACCTCTGGAGGGACCCTGGTTGAGAAACCCTGGTCCAGGCAGAGGGTCAGGGGTTCTGCATCCTCCTAGAGGAGAATAAAAACTCCTCCTACAAGCTTTAACCAGTGCTCTGCTGGACACTGATAGAAGTCACAAGACTGCTCTAACTGCTGACGAGAAAAGGTATTTAGCAGTTTATATTTACTAAAATAATTGCATTTCCATGTTCTGTGTACTGTGGGAGACCAGATATAGTGAATGCAGGGTCCGGGGAGACAAGATTTAGTGAATGCAGGTCTGGTGAGACCAGGTAGAGTGAGTGCAGGGTCCGGGGAGACCAGATATAGTGAGTGCAGGGTCTGGGGAGACCAGATATAGTGAGTGCAGGGTCTGGGGAGACCAGATATAGTGAATGCAGGGTCTGGGGAGACCAGATATAGTGAATGCAGGGTCCGGGGAGACCGGATATAGTGAATGCAGGGTCCGGGGAGACCAGATATAGTGAATGCAGGGTCTGGGGAGAGCGGATATAGTGAATGCAGGGATCCGGGGAGACCAGATATATAGTGATATAGTGATGCAGGGTCCGGGGAGACCAGATATAGTAAATGTAGGGTGCGGGGAGACCAGATATAGTGAGTGCAGGGTGCGGGGAGACCAGATATAGTGAATGCAGGGTCCGGGGAGACCAGATATAGTGAATGCAGGGTCCGGGGAGACCAGATATAGTAAATGTACGGTGCGGGGAGACCAGATATAGTGAATGCAGGGTCCTGGGGAGACCAGATATAGTGAATGCAGGGTCCCGGGGAGACCAGATATAGTGAATGCAGGGTCCGGGGAGACCAGATATAGTGAATGCAGGGTCCCGGGGAGACCAGATATAGTGGATGCAGGGTCCGGGGAGACCAGATATAGTAAATGCAGGGTCCGGGGAGACCAGATATAGTGAATGCAGGGTCCGGGGAGACCAGATATAGTGAATGCAGGGTGCGGGGACAACCAGATATAATGAATGCAGGGTCCAGGGAGACCAGATATAGTGAATGCAGGGTCCGGGGAGACCAGATATAGTGAATGCAGGGTCCGGGGAGACCAGATATAGTGAATGCAGGGTCCGGGGAGACCAGATATAGTGAATGCAGGGTCGGGGAGACCAGATATAGTAAATGCAGGGTGCGGGGACCAGATGAATGCAGGGTCCAGGGAACCAGATATAGTGAATGCAGGGGGAGACCAGATATAGTGAATGCAGGGTCCGGGGAGACCAGATATAGTGAATGCAGGGTCCGGGGAGACCAGATATAGTAAATGCAGGGTCCGGGGAGACCAGATATAGTGAATGCAGGGTCCGGGGAGACCAGATATAGTGAATGCAGGGTCCAGGGAGACCAGATATAGTAAATGCAGGGTGCGGGGACACCAGATATAGTGAATGCAGGAATGTCCGGGGAAGACCATATATAGTGAATGCAGGGTCCAGGAAGACCAGATATAGTGAATGCAGGGTCCGGGGAGACCAAAGATATAGTGAATGCAGGGTCCGGGGAGACCAAATATAGTGAATGCAGGGTTCGGGGAGACCAGATATAGTGAATGCAGGGTCGGGGAGACCAGATATAGTGAATGCAGGGTCCGGGGAGACCAGATATAGTGAATGCAGGGTCCGGGGTTTAGTAACACTTTAGGCCGCAGTGATATCACTAGCTGCTGGTGACTCTCAGCTGTGAAATATTTTCCAGGCCAACAAATTAAAATGTATGTATACCAAAACTTTTTTTTTTCACTTGCATTTATTAACATTTTCTACATTTACAATCAATATAACATAAGGGGTATACAATTCTAACTAAGAAGAAGAAAGACTGTCAATGTACCATACAAATTGAAGGAAAAAAAAAAACAAATAACACTAAGAGCAATGATGAATAAGTATATCTGGATTGTTTGTCGTGTGAGACATTGGAATTTTAGGGTTGCACTTCAGAAGTAGGTCAGTATGATGGGGCTACAATATGACTAGATGCCCATAGCCATATATGTGAGCGAAGGGTAAGAGGAGAGATAGTGTGTCACCATTGCTGGACCCAGTGATCATACTAGAGGAGCGCAACCAGGGGCAGACTGACAACTCATGGGGCCCCCGGGCAATAGGGGATCATGGGGCCCCTGTGTCCTTGCCCAAACTCAAAAAAGCCTATGAAAAAGGTACCAGGGGCATCTCATGGGGCCCCCTACTGACCCCGGGCCCTTGGGCAGTGCCGGAGTTTCAAAATGGTCAGTCCACCCCTGAGCGCAACTGAGAAAATGGGAAAGAACCCGAGAGGAACACAATAGTAAATCTGATTCTCTCCATAGAGAAAAGCACTAGATAGCTCAATTGTGGACGGGAAGAGTAGCAGGCAATGGTGATATACCAAAGGGTTAGCAGTATAGGTAAAACTGTGGTGTGCGGGGAACTTCTTTTGCATGCCCTACATGGAAGAAAAATATATTTGAAATATATTTTAAAAAATATTCTTCCCAAATATATTGGCATATACAGTATTTGAAATACTACTTTTGTCCATATTATTCATTATATATATATTATATATATACATATATATATATATATATATATATATATATATATACACATACACATACATACATACATACACACACACTGTATGTTGAAATGCGTTGTTTATATTACAAAATATATGAAAAATATTTTTAAAAATACATTTTCAAATATACTGTATGTCTTCTACATTTACATCTACATTTTTGGAATGCATTTACAAATATATGTAAAAATATATATTAAAATTACTTTTTTTATATGTAAAAAGAAATATGAAGAATATTATATGAAAAATATGTTTAAAAATATGTTTCATATATTTTTTAAAAATATATTCTCCAGATTTTTTTTTAACATATAAAAAAAGAAATTTTAACAGATATTTTTACATATATTTGTAAATGCAAAAATGTAGATCTGTATTTTTAAAGACACACAGTATATACGAAACGTATTTTTAAAAATATTTTACATTCATTTTGTAATAAAAACGTATTTCAACATACAGTGTATATATATATATATATATATATATATATATATATAGAGTATAGTATATGTTTATTGAAATATATTGAATATGGCCAAAATTGTAGTATTTCAAATATATGTCAATATATTTGGGAAGAATATTTTTATATTTTTAAAATATATTTCAAATATATTTTTCTTTCATAACTTAAGCCACAATTCCCAGTGCAAAACTTTATTTTTGTTTTACATTTTAGAGTAAGAAAGATTAAATCATCCCCTTGTCAATTGTTTTTTTTTTTTCCTTCTGTGTCCCATTAAGGAGATTTCCTTTTACTTCCTGTAGAAATTGTGGGCAAATCTTCCCAAAATAAGAGAAATTTCCCTATTAGACAGTTGTCATCAAAACTGGTGCTTCCATTGGACTATTTTCCCTTCACCTCCTAATTTGGTGGCAAGGGTATCATTTTGTAATTTCCACCATTTGTTTGGATGACAACCACAGGACATATAGAGAACGTAAATCACCCCAGTGGGACACAAACAGCAATACAAAGCGATTATATGGAGCAATGATAATAATGAAGGCCTGCAGTGTCTCTGCGGATATCATTCACAACTGTTCGATTATACCAACTTTATTATCCAACTCAATACGATAAAAAATGAAGTATGACTTTTGCATAAAACATGAAATCAACAAAACGAATGCTATCCAATCAACTTACAGTATAAGTCCATAAACATTTTTTGCTGATAAAATACGGACAACAGGAAGATAAAAGGTATCCAGCAAATTTCGGCGGTCAAATAATTCCCATTCATCGATATAAACTGGCAAAGCTTCCATTGCGACTAATAACGCTCCCTCTTTTAATAAGAAATACTTTACAGGAAGAGGTTTTTATAGTTAGAATATATTTCCATTTATTATCCAAGCCTTGTTGACAGGGGCGGACTGACAACTCATGGGGCCCCCAGGCAATAAGGGATCATGGGGCCCCTGTGTCCTTGCCCAAACTCAAAAAAGCCTATGAAAAAGGTACCAGGGCATCTCATGGGGTCCCCTACTGACCCCGGGCCCTCGGGCAGTGCCCGTGTTTCCAAATAGTCAGTCCGCTCCTGGGCACCAGACTAAGTGCAGTATGAGACAATTCTGTTTATTAAAATAAAGCAAATTGGAAACTCACTATAGAGCAGATAGACTGGGCATGTCAAATCATTCTGGATGGTCCCCAGGGTGATCCGGCTGATGTTCCGTGGTTTGCTTAGTCCGAGTCCAAATGGGAGCAGTGGCAAGCGGCTGAATGCCGCTAGAACCAGCGTGGAACACAAGATGGCATTCCACCGGAAATGATGACACCAAGGAGGCGGATCACCCTGGGGACCTTCCACACATGATTTTGCATGCCTAGTCTATCTGTTCTATAGTGAGTTTCCAATTTGCTTTTTTTTAATAAACAAAATTGTCTCATACTGCACTTAGTATGGCGCCCCTCTATGTTCTCTTTTTATACAGCTATCAGAACTTCAGCTTCACTCTGGAGGGTGCTGCCACTGGTGCCTACATATAGTTCATATCATGGATATTTGATGGAATTATTATGGACTCTTTTGTTCAATTCAATTTAATTTATGGTTGTATTTTTGTATGGTTCTTGGCAATATTTGCTTCTTTAGCGCCTATCTCCCCCCTTTTTTCAGCTCTGTCCATGCCTCCTCTGCAGAAACTGCACTTACACGGACCTGTCATCCGCCCGCTCTGCTCTGATTAGCATGGGAGCAGCAAACTACTGATCTAACCGGAGTCCACCCCGTGTGAAAGGGACCTAAAGAGCCTTTTGCCTTTTCTCCAAATCCCCTGTAGTACTCCTTGAACTTAGCCACAAATGTCCAGAGATAAAAAAATATATATAGTTTGTAGATTTGAAACAAAAGAAGGAATACATTATCACAATTTGTAAATGTTGAGGCTTTTTGTTGCCCCATGTAACCTTCCTACCCAAGGGCAGGGGCTCACAGGTGTCACCATACTAAACGAACCCTGCCTGTAATAATACATAGATTGCCAACGGCGACAACTGGGTGCTATTCAATTTATCAAGGAAGTTAGAAACATTCAAAAATGAAGCTGGTTACCTTAAGATGCCTTCCAGCAAATGTGAATATTTCTGTCAATTTCTTTCTAAAGGCGCTTCACATAAAAGACGAAAAAGGCACTTGAGATAAACTGACCCAGCGGGAAAGAGGGTGAATATTCGCTGCTGTAGAAACATCCATAATAAAGTTAATGCAGAAAGTTTGGAGTTTATGGTTAGCACAGTACAATACTTCACTACTGCTATAATAAAGTTAAAGAATTGTAACATGAAGATGAAAATACATCTTTGTAAAAGCAGAGCCTTTTCTTGTTGGAATGGTAAAGAGTTTGAACATTTGTCGGGCTTTTTTAATTTTTGCTTTTGTGTCCTTGTTGCAGAAATGTTCTGTTCCTCCTCTGGTGATGGGAAATCTCTCCAGCGAAGGCACAAATGGGAATAAAAATATATTATTTTTTTTTTCCTAATACAGCAAGGAAGGGTTCAAATTTGCTATAGGGTTTTAGGAGAAATATCCCCAATGGAGACACACACAGCAATAAGCAGTTGACAGATTATCGAAACCTTCCACACTTGCAAAACATTTTTACCCAGAATGTGTGTAAATCAGGGCTTAAAATTTCTGAGCTACTAGCCAGGCCTTAAGAGTTACTCGCCACCAACAAACACACACAAACAGAGAGACACCTGTACACACACAGACATGTACATACACATACACACACAGAAACATGTACACACACGCACAGAGACACATGTACACAACACACATACAGACACATGTACACACACACACACACATACAGACACATGTATACACACACACAGACATGTACATACACACACAGAAACATGTACACACACGCACAGAGACACATGTACACACACACATACAGACACATGTACACACACACACACACACATACAGACACATGTATACACACACAGACATGTACATACACACACAGAAACATGTACACACACGCATGCAGAGACACATGTACACAACACACATACAGACACGTACACACAGGCACACATACAGACACGTATACACACACAGGCATGTACAGACACATATACACACAGATACATGTACATACATACACAGACACATGTACACACAGACACAAGTACGTACATACACATGTACATACACACACACACACACATACATGTACATATACGCAGACACATGTACAGATACACACATGTACATACACACAGACACATGTACATGCATACACAGGCACACACACATGCACGCACGCTGTTAAGTGCTCTCTCCTCTCCCCTGAAGCCACCACTGGCTGACATAGAGGATCATGTGACCAGAGTGAGATGAAATTAGGTAGACACACACAAAGCCCTATAAAAAGTTGCAGTACTTTGTTGCTCACTCACAGAGCCGGGTACTGCACTCTAGGGGGAGGCAGAGAGCACAGCACACACTCCTTCCTTTGCTTTCACTGCGCTCAGCTATTGAGCAGTCTGATGGCTCCCAGTGCCACTG